TTCTAACTCTGTCCAGCCGCGTCCAGCCGCAGGCCCACCTCAGCATCCTCATCTCAGCGGAGTGAAGCTGCCTTTCGTGGTTCTTGCTTCAGGGGCCAGCACTCGCTGCCGTAGAGCATCGCAGGCCTTACCTGTCCGGTACACCTTCCCTTTGAGCGTTCTGGAGCACCTTCGATCACAGAGATTCCAGTGGACTCCCTCCATTTCATCCATGCAGCGTTGACTCGAGCCTTCACCGCCTGATCCACACCACCATCGGCTGCCAGATCGCTCCCAAGGTAGCGGAAGTCCTCCACTCTTTCGATGGTCTCACCATGGCCGTCTACGATCGGCTCTGCACCCTCTTCGGAGCTCAGGAACTTGGTCTTCTTGACATTCAACCGGAGCCCGCCTTCTGCCAGGACATTCTGCCATCTCTGCACCTTGGCTGAAGTTCCTCTCTGCTATCCGCTATCAGAGCTATGTCGTCAGCGTAGAGGATGGTCTTCAGTGGTCCTTCCATGAGGCCCTTCACCATGGTATCGAGCGTTAGGAGGAACAGGAAGGGGCTCAGAGCTGACCCTTGATGCACCCCAACCGTGATGTTTATCTCCTTTGTTAGGCCGTGAGGGGTGCGTATGGCTGCTTTGGCTCCTTCGTACATGTCCTTCACCAGCGAGATCAGGTGTTCTGGCACGTTTCGTTCCCTGAGCGACCTCCACAGCACTGCTCGCGGTAGCCGGTCGAACGCCTTTCCAGGTCGAGGAAGGCTAGGTAGCAAGGTCGGCATTTTTCTCTATACTATCTGACTTCGCGATGAAGATCAGAAGCCTCCAAGCCTTCGCGGGAATTTACCGCTCTTGAGCCAGGCGCGGCTTTTAACTCATATTATGCCCATCATCTCATCACTTATGTCATACCCAAAGGTGTTGTCACCAGTCCGCTCTCAAACTAGCATATGTTTCTTTATCGAAGTGCTAAACCTCCTTTCCCACTTATGACTGACTGCGAGGTTGACAAGAAGAGAGAAGTTGGAGAACTTGTCTTTGTTCTCAAGAAATAGAATACAATTTCGTCTAATAGGTACGATCAACTTCCCAGGGCTACAAATTCGTCCTCTCTTCATGTTGGATTTCTCAATGTATGAATAACTGTGCCTTTCATTCTAGGACCTTTCAATTGACACCAGACTTGTCCGGTTAGAATAAATCGTGACTTATACTTCGATTGGTCCACGCAAATTTGCATAAGGCAGGCATCTCGTAATCTGTCATGACAATTTGAAATGGAAGTGGAATGCGTGGCGCATTTCGAAAAGGACTGATCAATATCCCGAAGCTTCACTGTTCTGCAGCTATAAATACGCCATGTACTGCAAAGTGCATAAGAATTATGTTACGATTATCATAGATACCACTTTTTCATGAGAATGCTGACAGCGTTCATCTTAATAAGTGGTCCATAGTGGAGTTAGTGGCCTCCCAGATCTTTTCCCTTTGTACAGGTCTGATAAGTTGCCCCTAACTAACAAGCTTATGCTGCTGCTTTACACATGCCCACTGGCAAACATTTTTGAGGATTTCTCCAGCGAGTTCGCTTTTCACCTCCCTTTGAACATATTAAAATTAATACCACAAAGTATAGTCTCCTCTTGGTTTACCAAACTGAAGGTTAGAATCGTTTGCTCAGTCGAATGGGCGTGACCAAACTCCCCTTCTAGAGCATCATTTCCCGCCACGAAAGCAACGTATAATAATAGCACGTGACTATACACTCTATGAAAACTATGAAATACGTCTTCTTTGGGGGAGGATTCCACAGTAAGGATGAAGGTTAAAGAGGGGGAAGCTTAACTAGCGGAAAGAGAAGTGGACCCACTGAGGGTGTGGACCGACACGCTCGCAGCGAATATGCCCCCGGCGGTCTAGCATGGCCGTCTAAACGCCACTAACGCCGCTGCCCACCCACCCATCTGGCTCAAGCCGCCTAGCAGAGAGGAAATGTTAGCTATGAATGCGGATAACAGAGGCATCTTGCGGGAATCTAGAGAGAAGAAGTTGTTCTATTTCTCGGGTTCTGAACTCTTTCTAATAGCGTTTTCTTCATTCAGCACCATGGCACTCTCTCTGCAAGCTGGGGTTGTCTTTAATTGTAAACTTCGCTCAGACACAACTTAGCGCGACCTTTGTTGTTTGTGGCAGTGCTGTCTGCAGAATGGCCAAAAAAGAGGACCATCTTCATTCATAAGCCGGACTTATTACCAGTCCGCCCCATTCAAACCTCATTGACGACGAAGGTTTCTACCGTAACCCTCCATTTTATATAACCCTTCATAGTATCTACACGACGGTAATCACAAAGATCTGCTTCGAGAATATGATGCAAGGGTTTGAGCAAATAGCTGAAAAGTATCGTGCTCATTCTGACACTATCTAGAATGATACTTAGCACGGATCCTGCACAATCAGAGCCACTGTTCTTAGAAAGACGTTCTCCACTAAATCAATTCAAAAAATTCAACTGTAGCAACTTCAGACCAGAGCGATTATGGTAGGTTTCGTTGAGCTCTACGGCGATGGCAGATGACGTCGTGTTCTACTAGAGAAGGTGAGGGCAGTGAAGTAAGGCTTACTTCTACTTATGGAGGGACATTTCATGGATATTTGTCCGAAAATATTACCGACCTTTAAAGCTATCTGATGTGCTTCATCAGCGAAATGGTTTTTGGCACCCAGTTTGTATATGCGTGCGTAGAGGGCTCGAAGAGGGTATCGGAAAACGGCAAGCCAGGCAGTTGCAGTCGCAGTACTCCGAGCAGTATATGGCGGGTACCCGACAGGAGCTTGGTTGCGCGCGAGAATTAAGCGGGGTCAGCGAAACGATTCGCAGCGCGTGTCTGCATTGCTGCGCTCTCACAGCGCCCGCCAATCAGGTTCAAGCGTGCGTTGAGGAATCCTCGACATGTCACAGAGGGGCGGGGGGAGAGATTGGCCCGATTGATACAGTAGGATCATCGTCGGAGGACAAACATTAAGGATCGAATCGATACCAGGCCAGAGTATTTCCAATAACAATTGATTCCGTCCACACAAAATCTTCGTGATTTAGAGGTGTCCGCTTAGCAATTCTTAGTGACTTTAGTGTTTCATCACCACACAAGTCAAAGGATCCGAAATTCGCACGTTTTCTAGGGATATTTTATCTTTCAAGTAGGTCCTCAAATCCAACGAGATGTGAAGCACACGGCGCATCCCAGAGTGGGCCCAGTTGGTTGCGCGCGCTTCAGCTACGGCTATCTTGATAACGAATCTTAATTCAGGAAGAATCAAGAGGGTTCTGAAAGAGTTCATGTTAAATTACAGAGAGGAGTACACTATTCAACAAGAGAACGCAGCCTTCAGCGTCAAATTCACAAGCATGTAACCTTTAAAGTTGAGACCCGCTAAACAATTTTACACTTTTTGCAGAGAGAAAAGCACGAGGATTTTGAATCTGCTCCTACTTCAGTATGTAATCGCTCCTGCAAGGAGCTATAGTCGTTGGGATAGTGCTAATGTAGCGAAAAAGTACCTTTCGGCGGTACTCGGGCAAAAATCCTCAACGTGGCCATTTTTTAAATAGTGAACGTATTTAGCAGTTTTAGTTGCCTCTAGAAAGAGCAAATCTTCTAGTTTATGATGACGTATTAACTTTCCAGATTGCATGAGTTTGAACGGAGTTATGGCTTTGGAAAGCGTAAAAACTCGCACTCATCACGAATTTTCCTCGTTAATTTTGCAAAAATCCTCAACGTGGCCATTTTTTGAGTACTGGACGTATGAAGCTGCTTTAGCGACCGTTTGATAGAGAAAATCTTCTAGTTTTGTATGACGTATCAACTTTTTGAATTTGACGGAAATGAAGCAAGTTATTGCTCCGGAAAGTGTAAAAACTCGTGCTCGTCTCGAATTTTCCTCGTTATTTGATCTAAATTTGTTATTTCTTATAACTTCCTGTAATTTCAGTACTGATTAGAAAAAGCTCTTCACAAAACTCCCAAATCAGCTTTCAGATTGAAAATTCGTTAACTTTGAAGAAAGTTATAATCATTTGAATATTTGTTCAAATTTCAATAGTAAATAAGCTGCTCCACGGTCAACGCCAAAGTCCAGTCAACACACAGCTGGCGAAGGCTTTTACAAGGCTTCCTTTGAGCGAAAGGGGGACGTGTAAATTGAGAACCATAATCTGTGTAGTACTAGAATTTGGTAAGTCTTGTGGAGGAAATAAACAAAGAAGAGGTGTTGTCATAGTACGCCATTTCTAGTGACTAGTTTGACGTTTTTTGCTCCGTTTCTCGTTTGCTCGTTTGACAGGACTCGTCATTAATGATCATTCTTTGACTTTTTCACTTTTATACTTTTTAAACGAGTTTTTTTGTGGACGATGGGGTAGCAGGGCTTTTTTATGAGCAGTTTTGGTGGAGAATTAAACAACTTTTTCATAGTTCGGCTTTTAAAGAGGGTTGTTTCATGGACTTCGGCCTTCGGCAGAGGGAGGGGGGGAGGGGTCGGGTCGTAGCGCGTGCTCTGCATGCCAGCGTGCGCAATCTAGCGTCAAATTGAATAGAATGTACAATAGCCACACTCCCGCATCGCGCAATAGGCGCTGCGACTCGTCTCCCGACCAATCTACGTTTCTGCCTTCTCACCACCGTGCGACGGGCCTCCTGTCGGGTACCTATGGCCGTATAGCTTGAAGTACTATCGCACAACTGCAATAGGATGAATCACGTAACGATACACATTAAGCATAAGAATGACTATTTTTGAATGTTTATTAGTTTTTTTTTCATTTTTTAAAAGAGCTACCCTAAATTCAAAAAAGACAGTTTCCTGCATGCCTCATGTGAATCTAGCTGATCGAATTTGAAGGCGGTGTTCAATTCAGTGAGCCTCATTAGCATCATAAAGCAACAGTTATTAGGTTTTGGCCCGATGCCAACAATATGGATCTTATCGGTCGTCTGTACGTTGACCCTATGAGGCTTTTGTGAGAGTGAACTGAATGGTGTCGATGTGATCATTGGCGAACAGAGCCGAGCACAGACAGAAGTAGTACTGCCATCGTCGATGGAAAGACTCAGAGTAACCCAGCGCCAAGATTTCCTTCTTGTTCTTCATCCATGCGCTGAAATCTTAAAAATTAGCAGGGGAGATGTAATCAATAAAGGATAAGGATAAAGCATTTGCCGTTGATCAATCCCTTTTTGGGATGCGGCACGCATTCTACTTCCATTTGTACATTCGTAGTGGCGTTTGAATGCGATGTGGCCTATACAATGACTTGCGGGGGCCAGCCGATGTACAAGTCAGTGTTTTTATCCTCCCAGACAAGTCTGGTACCAATTAACCGACCCCGGAGGGATGAAAGGCTTGATTGGCCC